TAGAGATGGGGTTTCACCGTGTTGGTCAGGCTGGTCTCGAACTCCTGACCTCATGATCTGTGCACCTTGGCCTCCCAGAGTGCTGGGATTACAGGTATGAGCCACCGTGTGTAGCCCTTTTCTTGTTTTTTAAGCAGACTTGAGTCTTGATTGTGTGAGTCCCATGCTGAAAATCTCTAACTGGCTTTGCATTGCTCTTAGGAGATTATTACATAGTTCACATTGTTTGCATATCTGGACCTTGTCTACATTTGCAACGTCATCTCAATTATCTCACTCTCCTCTGACTTGGTCTTCCACTTGCATTAGACCCAAACTGTGTTTGCCTGAAGTGCCCTTACCCAGATGGTCTCTTGTGCCCAGAATTCTCTTCCTTTCACTCTTTGTGGAATTATCTGGCTCATTCCTACTCAAGCTTCAGGTTGCAGTTTAAATGTTGTTTTATCAGAGTGCCCTTCCTTCATTAGAGAACTCTTAGTTAAAGTTAAAATCATTTCTGTTTATACCCTATATTTTTTAACCACAGCTATACCTTAATTTTTAATAATATGTATTTTGGCAATTGCATGTTTAGTATTTATCATGCTCAGTAAAATGTGAAGAAATGTAAAATATCAAATGTAAAATATCATGCTCCGTGAAGACATGGAATGGAGTCATGGTCAGAGGCTAAGTTTTAAAGTTGGGCAGGGGTCATTCAAAAATTGGTCTCTCACGTCATGCTAAGGAATTTGGATCTTATTTTACAGGCAATAGAGAAATAGTGAAAAATTTTAAGTAAGGTCTTAGGTGTCATATATAGAGTTTGATCCTGCAAGGTTTTATGGTTCTTCAATAGAAAATGAATCAGAAAGTAGTAAGGATGGGCAGAGGCAAGGAGATTAGGTAAGACATTCTTGAAATGGTACAGATGAGGCATGTCAAAGGACTGAATTAAGACACAGCATAGAACAGAAAACATATTTAATCCATTTGAATAAGGTGTCAATCAATGGTTGGGTTCCGGTTCCCTGAGCATGAGACTCTGAGGCAGAGATTAGTGTGCGTTATGTTTATTATGAGATCAACACCTTAGGAAAAGAAGGCAAGGAAGAGGACTGGCCATATAGAGAAGTTTAGTTGGGATGCCGGGCTAATGAAGGCCTTAGCTGACCACACAGTGAGCTCTGGAGCTAGAAGAGCCCCTGAGTGTTAACCCCATGGGGCTAACAGGGCTAGTGGTCAGGTCCATACTGATGAGTCACTGGATATGGGCTACATCTATGAATGGGGAATAATTTGAGTGACATGCCTATTTCCAGGTAATACCTGAATGGGACTGAGAGCTGGGGGTGTTCTGCCCACAGCACTCTAAGCAGCTGAAAGAGACGTCTGGGTGGAACATCACAGTGTCCACTCTAGGCATGTATTTATTAAAGAATAAGAGAGAAAAATTAGCTGAGAATGACAAACAGAAACAGGCCTGGGCTAAAGACAACAGATTCAGAACTTACAGCCTGACAGGAGGTAGGCAATGCTGTGCAGACATAGGTGAGGTGCCTTAGGGAGAGTGTGCTGAGTGAGAAGAGTACAGAGGTGTATCAGCGAGTCTGGAAGAAAACAAACAAAACAAACATGGCGAAGGGCACCTAGAGAAAGAAGAGAGAGAATGCGTATGCAGAGAAGTAGTAAGGACGATAATACAACAAATACTAATGAGACAAATATTAACAGAAAAACTTTCCTGGGTGTTTGCTCAGGACCAGGTTCTTTGCACACATTCCATTTAATCTTCAAGGCAGCCCTGTGAATTTGATGTTATGATTATCCTGATTTCATAGACCAGGCACTTTTGTTGGGGGGAGGGGTGTTCAAAAACATGCCTGAGATGGATGGCTAAGGCATCAAGCCAAGACTGAACCAAGTCTCTCTCCAGAGCACATGCCCTTCACTGTCTCTCGTGGGATGACAGTGGTTTGTTGTGACTTTCACTGAAACATCAATAAGCAGAAATATGGAAGTGTTTTTGTAAAGATAGTAGTTATGATGTCCAAGAAGTCTGTAACATTTCCAGGAAGGTTTTCATGGGTCACATGATGACTAAAGGCCGATTTCAATGTGTATAGCAGTGGGAAATGTGAGAGAGGACCGACCAAAAGATGTGTAGAGACACATGGCAAGGAATACAGATCTGGCAAGATGGAATTTTATTTTATTATTTTATTTATTTCTATTATATTTTTATAATTTCAACTTTTATTTTACAATAAAATAAAAGTTACTATAGAGGCTGAAGCAGGAGAATCGTTTGAACCCTGGAGGTGGAGGTTGCACATGTGTAAGTCGTTTACTGATGCTGAGATCTGGGTGTGAATGATCCCATCACCCAGATAGCGAGCATAGTACCCAATCGTTGGCTTTTCAACCCTTATCTCCCTCTTCCCTTCCCTCTCTAGTAGTCCCCAGTGTCTGTTGCTGCCATCTTTATCTCCAAGTGTCCCTGATGTTTAGCTCTCGCTTATAGGTGAAAACATGCGAGATTTGGTTTTCCGTTTCTGTATTAATTCACTTAGTATAAAGGCCTCCAGCTGCATCCATGTTGCTGTAAACGACAGGATATAATTATTTTATATGGCTGCATAGTATTCCATGATGTATACATTCCAAGATGGAGTTTTAAAATAGAAGAAAATTGAGTATGTTTATTTTCTAAGGGACTCCACAGAGAGAGGGAGAAGGTGTCAGTGCAATGAAAGGAGGAAGTGATCAATAGAGCAAGTCCCACTGAAGAGGTAGAAGGGGATGAGATGCATAGAAAGGTTGGAGAGGAAAGCAGTATCTTCCCCTAAATACAAAGGAGAGAAAGTTAAAATGTTTTTAACAATCGGCTTTGTCTGTGAGAGGCAAAGACCAAGAACTCCTAGTTATTTATGTTTTTCAGGTTATTCATTTCTTGGGGATTGGGAATAGGGTCTCACTCTGTTGCCCAGGCTGGAGTGCAGTAAAGCAATCACAGCTCACTGCAGTTTTGACCTCCCAGGCTCAAGCAATCCTCCACTTCAGCCTCCCGAGTAGCTGAGACTGCAGGCGTTTGCCACCACATCCAGCTAATTTTTATTTTTTTGTAGAAACACAGTGTCACTATTTGCCTAGGCTGGCCTCAAACTCCTGGGCTCAAAAAATCCTCCTGCCTCAGCCTCCCAAAGTGTTGTGATTATAGATGGGAACCACTATACCCAGCCTCAGATTTTTATATTTAAACAAACATATGTTTTCACTTATAATGCAGACAATATGCTCTAGCTGATGAGAAAGTAAATAATTGGAAAAAAATGTTGGAAACTTCCAGGACAAAATGAGCATAGCAATACATCTGAGATAGAATGAGGAAGAGGAACTAGAATGAGGAAGAGGAACTAGAATGAGGAAGAAGACCCAGAAGTAACAAGTCAGAGTAATGCTGGAAAATCCTGTCAGGGAGGGAATGGTTAAGCCTATGTCTCAGTAACCATGAACAAAGGGCCAAGGAAACCCTTCACCCAATCTGCTGTTGGGAAACTGTTAATGACACAGAAGTCATCTGTTTGCTCAATGATTCACATTCCTTAGAGAGGGAGTTCTCAGACCAATCCTCTTGAAAACTCAATGGTTTTCACATTCATGAAGTCAGTGAATGGACTAAATCTGGTTGCCATTGGACCACCCATTAAATCTTTGGCCTGTAACTGATTGAGATGGAGGACATTTTGCAAACTGTGATGTCTCCCACCTGGAGTGTGGTTGGTGTGCTTGCTTTGGAGTCATTTTCATCCTTGTAATAGATCCCTTGCCAGTGGGATATAAAAGGAAAAGGAAAAAGGTCCATTTTTCCCACACGAAGCCCCCCACTGCCTCTAGGGAGTGGCAGGAAAGTAGCAGTCAAAAGTTACAACTTGACTCAAATTTTGAAATAATCTCAACTGAATTTTTCTTCCTTTGAAAACCATTTGAAAAACTGTAGAAAGGATAGTGTCACATTTCCACTAGGTTTAGTCCCACTTACATGAAAAGATTCAAAAAGGCATCTCTCCTTCCTATTTTTGAATCAGACTAGACAGAGAAAGTAAGCATAGTGAGTTACAGACCTGGGCTTGTTCCTGGATCAGTTGCCACATGGCTTGTCTCGGCCAAACACTTTGCACACCTTCCGTTCATCTGGCAAATAAGGGTGTTAAGTTTGATGGCCTTGAAGATAACTTCCAGCACTAAAATGTTCTCTAGCATCTAAATTTCAAGTGACTGCATAGCCAATTTCAAGGGCCACTTTTATATTGTTCCATAAAAATGAAAGGTACGTGTTTGGCCTTAATAAATGTGATATATTTCAAGCTGCCATTGAAGAAACACTGAATGAAAGTTTCCATACTAAACATTACTTAACAGAGAGAAAGGTGTTACTTAACAGCTAAAGTAATAATTAACAGTTCATTCAAATTAATTATAAGGAATACTTCTCTGTTTTCTTCTTTTCTGGATCTTAAGAATAAACTATGAAATGTGAATTTCTTGCTTAGGGCTCCTCCTAAGTATCAATAGTTTTCATGTGTCTTGAAACTAATACCTAAACATTTCTCCATATCGAGGTATCTTTATTAAAGCCAGAATTGATTACCATCTTAAGGAAAAGTGGCTTACACTAGAATAAAGTAATAAAGTCCAAAATGTTTTTTAATTACTCTCCAATAAACTGACAAGGTTTTGGCATTGTCTTCAACTGTGCCTTAACACATATATTTATACTTTTATATCAGAGTGATTTTTTACACAGGAAGTTTCAGCTCTGTAATTAGCAATTCACAATGGAAACTTTGACACTTAATTACAGCATTGCTAAGACAATAATAATGTGAGAAATCCTAAAACTGAATGCAGTATTTCTTGACACACCCCTAGCTACCTTCTTATTGGCTGGGAAACAATTATATATGACTAGTAAATAATCCATAGAGAAATGAATGTGTATGAAAAAAGGCGACGTGCATTTACAACAGGTACTTCTAGTTAGGCCAAGTTCAGTCACAGACACTGATTTGGACTAAAATGATATGGGCAGCAGCCAAGGAGAACATCATCAAAGACTTCTCTAGACTCAAGAGCCTTCCACGTTCTACAACTTGAGCATCTTCTACCACTCCGAATTGGACTAGTCTTCAAAGTAAAAGGCAATGGCATTTTATCCCTTGCAAATTGCTGGGCTGGTTCTTGGGTTCCTTGGCATGGTGGGGACTCTTGCCACAACGCTTCTGCCTCAGTGGAGAGTATCAGCTTTTGTTGGCAGCAACATTATTGTCTTTGAGAGGCTCTGGGAAGGGCTCTGGATGAACTGCATCCGACAAGCCAGGGCCCGGTTGCAATGCAAGTTCTATAGTTCATTGTTGGCTCTTCCGCCTGTCCTGGAAACAGCCCGGGCACTCATGTGTGTGGCTGTTGCTCTCTCCTTGATCGCTCTACTTATTGGCATCTGTGGCATGAAGCAGGTCCAGTGCACGGGCTCTAATGAGAGGGCCAAAGCATACCTTCTGGGAACTTCAGGAGTCCTCTTCATCCTGACGGGCATCTTCGTTCTGATTCCGGTGAGCTGGACAGCCAATATAATCATCAGAGATTTCTACAACCCAGCTGTCCACATAGGTCAGAAACGAGAGCTGGGAGCAGCACTTTTCCTTGGCTGGGCAAGCGCTGCTGTCCTCTTCATTGGAGGCGGTCTGCTTTGTGGATTTTGCTGCTGCAACAGAAAGAAGCAAAGGTACAGATATCCAGTGCCTGGCCACTGTGTGCCACACACAGATAAGCGAAGAGACATGAAAATGCCTAGTAATACCTCCACCAGTTATGTCTAATGCCTGCTTTTGGCTCCAAGTGTGGACTATGGTCAATGTTTGTTATAAAGTCCTGTTAGAAAGTGTAAGTATGTGAGGCAGGAGAACTTGCTTTATGTCTAGATTTAAATTGATATGAAAGTTTCAATTTGTTACTGGTAGGAAAACTTGGACATTCTGACTTCAGGTGTATTAAATGCATTTACTATTGTTGGACTCAATCGCTGTTCCAATGTTCATATTCTAAATGTAAGTATACCCATGAATCATTATCAAGTGTACAATGATGGACTACTAGTTTTTGACCATCATATCTTATCTGATAAGAATCAAAATTTGAAATCGATATTCTATAACAATAAAACATATACCTATTCTAAAATGTAAGCTATTATTTTTCCTCTACATTGTTTCTTGTACTACACACTAACAACTAAATGATGACCTTTTTCAAAAGATTATCATGGAAAATTGTAGATATCAAACAATAATTTTTAGTTGAAAATGTCAAAACATGAAAATGTCCATCTAATGAAAGACTTTGTTCCTTTAGGAACTCACACAATTACAATTAGACACTTTAGTGAAAAGGGAGCTCTGATGTATCTTAGGACAATTAAGAAGACAGATTTTAAGGTCTCTAATTTATACAGTTAAACTTGCCTAGAATCACTGTTTAAAGGAAAATAATTTATAAATGAAAAATAATATTTTTCATAGCCTATCATCTGTACTTCAAGCAAACAGAAGCATCTATCTTGATAAGACACATCAATGGAAGGCTATTAACACTCAATTCTTATCTAGAGGTTATACGGTCCCAATTAGAGAATTGCAGTTGGGGCATTGAAGGGAATGGTTTCTATTCTTTGTTTTATTCTTTAGTCATTGCACAGGTACAAACATGCTAAGCAATTCGAAGAATTAAGGTTGTGATTCAGACAAGTAGTCAGGCTAAGTTAAATACCTTTTTTGTATTCTGTACTAAACAAATAGGTATGGTGAAAATATTTTTGTTTTGCTTGAATTACATGCACAATTTTCTCAATACTTCATTTCCCATGTGTACATATCAATATCAGGGTTAAAAGTGTGGTGGGTCATGTCGGGTGAGAGTGAGTGGGGAGTGTTTATGAGGCAAGACCACCTGTATGGGTTGCTTCTCAATAGCTTTTACATCTTGTGAATCAATCAATTTTTATATGTTCAGCTTTAACTCTTCAAATATTGTGCTTATTTTGTAATAAAAATGTATTTAATTTTGAGTATATAATTGCAATGAGAAGCCTGAATTTGCTCACCAAATATTTATTGCATCGTCATCCTTATTATAATGAAATAAAATAGATTACAATGATGTTGATATATTTAGCTGTGGGGTCAATTAGAATAAATTTCTGTCCTCAGAAGATCACCTAGTAACTCTGAAACATTAAATCAGGGATAACTCAAGCCTGGATGTTAATATCCAACCTTCACTCCATTCTACAAACCACCAGCAAGATGTCAGTAGGTGAAGCCCCTGGTAATATAAAACTGTATTTAAAACACTGGTAATATTAAATGATAATATCACACAAGTATAAATATCTTCAAAGAATAGCAATAAAAATAAGAAAAACAGTGATTAAGATGAATTTTTCCTAAGATTGATTTTTTTTAATCAGACTTGATTCAGAAAGGCCTAATACTGGGTATGTTGGAAAAGAGTCATTTTTCTTTTACAGTCAAATAAGTAAGCCATCTAGACAAGCAAGATATATACCTAAAAGTTGTCATAGAATCATTTTTCTTACCTTTTTGCTCACCTAGAAGTAATTAGCTTTACAAGAATGGATTCCTCAGCCTAAACGGGGAAGTATATTATTCTGCTAGCCAGTAGGTCAAAGAGTAAAAAGGTATAACACTTGGTGCAATTATAAGATAATATTAGCTATTGAATATGTGGCAACATTTCAGGAACTAAGTTTTTTGTTGCTTGCCCTTCCATTAATCAATGTGTAGCTTTAGAAAGATTATTTTTCCCTGCCTCACTCTGCTGTAGTATTTTTCCAATTATACCAAAAATAAATTTTACTAATTTTCCATGAATTTAAAGATGCATGAAGGGTGCATATTTCCTACTACAAACCCAAGCGTGCACGACATTTATCTTTATTTTCTAAAATATAATTGAAGTTCAACTTCTTGAGTACTTCCTCACATATTATACAGTTGTTAGGATCTTATACAGGGCTAAACAGTGTTCCATGGTGGTTTCTGGGATCAGTCCATGACCATCAGTCCCTGCAGGTGTCTGAGAAGATGTCTATTTTATCTGCCCACAGAGTCTTTGTGGGCTTCTTAGCTCTGTCGATTCTGTCATACTTGGCCATTAATTGTTTTGACTCTTGTTCTGGGCTGCTTGAATCAGTAGATTTCAACCCTGGCGGTATGTTAGAATCGCTTAGGGAGCTTTGAAAAATACCAGTATAGCTGGTGTTGAGATGATCCATGGCACCATTTTCCAGAGTCTTATCCCGGAACCTGACCTGCTGAACTGGTTACCAGCTATCCACAAGCAGTGGTAGAGAAAATGGCTACTTCCCAATAAAATGTTTTTAATGTCACCTCTGTAACCCTTCTTCTTCTTCCCCACTGTCAAAAACCTTGTACAATTTCATAGAGGTTTTCAGAAGCACAATGCATAGGCTGCTTTTGCCTTCCACTTTTTACATACTCAGTGAAATGCTTTGCTGACCACCTTCTGGAATGGGGACCAGGCAAAGGGGGAAAATATAAGCAGGGGAAATAGTTAACGTCACAAAATATTATTTAATCACACATGGTTGAAGATGTTTTAAGAGAGTGTAGTTTACAAATTTAATTAAATGCACACCAATGATCTTTTTCATTTGTAAAAAATCTTGCTATATTTGAAAGCATTTTGTTACACTGTTTTGATCTTTGTAACCACTGTGTGCTGTAGAAAGTATAGATATTGTTACCAAAACATGCCCAGTAAAAGAACTGAGACATACAAGGTTATCTGACTCGGCCAAAGTCACATAGCTAACATGCAGAAATCAAGAATTCAACAACAGGACTAAGTTGTTATTTAATAATAATTTGAGGAATGATTAAAAAACAGTATACATAGAGTACAATGGTTTGAGGGTTTAACTACTATGCATCCCCTCTTCCCCCAGAGAGGAGATGAAACTATGAAATTCAGAAACATAAAGGCAGTTATTGAGTTTTAAGTATGAAAAGCACAGATTCTTAGGAGATCAGGAGATCGTGGGCCAAGAATAACATGGTTATCTTTAAGATTAAGAGTATAAAATGATTTCCTTGGATGAAGGTGTAATAGTAAGGAGCAGAGTTTAGAGGGTCTAGATATCAGTGTGTCCCCGGGAGGAGCCTGGTGGCCACTCCCCAATCCAGTTCCTGGGGACTGGGGCATAGGGGAATAATAAACTCTCAGACGGGTTCGAGAATACAAGGGCAGAAACGATCTGTGTCCTGACTCAGGTGGAGCTGAGGATGTCGACAAAGTATTCCCTGTGACCTCACAGTGCTGGAGGATAAGGGACATCTCTGTGATGCACTTAGTCCGATAGCCTAAAAGATAATCTTGCCAAGTTCCCCGCAACTGGAACACCGTGGGAGCAGGAGAACATTTCCTACCCACCCGAGAGGGGCACAGAGCATGCCAGACCCAAAAATGTCTAGTGACTGGGACTAAGTGAGACACAACAGTCATGCGCATGGACAAGCGGCTGGCCCATCCATGCCTGTGTGCCTCCAGATCCGCTCCTTCACTCCTCTGTCTAATCTGTATCCTATGGAGCTTGATGCTCACGGCTGGGCAGTGTGTGGCAAGAGCTTGAGGTAAGAGTGGTCCTCCCTAGGTACAGGCAATAGGAGGCGGCTCTCTCTGTAAATAATAGAAAAGCAATAATAAAACCTACTAAATAGTGGGTCTGTTCTTTATTATCTTCACATGCTGACCTTTCTAATGAATGTTAGTGATAAAGCACTCGATCAAAACAAGTGAACAATGTAATTTCTTGAGGTAAGTTCCCAAACAATCATTGTGATTACTCTTCGGAGAGGTAGGTAGTATTACGGGCTTAAGTGTGCCTTCCTCCGCCATTTATATGTTAAAGATCTCACCCCTGCATAAGTGAAACTGCAACTGTATTTGGAGATAGGGTCTGTATAGAGGTAATTAGGTTAAAATAAAATTATTAAGGTAGGATAGTAGATATGACTGGTGTTCTTATGAAAACATGAGGAAATTTGGACATAGACAGGTACAGAGAAAAGGTGATGTGGAGACACATAGTGAGAAAATAGTCATCTATAGGCCAGAGAAAAAGGCTTGGAACAGCTTCTTCCCTCACAACCTTCAGAAGGAACTAACCCTGCGGACATCTTGATCTCAGAATTCTAACCTCTAGCGTGGTGAGACTATAAATCTCTGTTGCTTTAAGCCGTATAGTTTGTGATATGGGAGCCCTAGCAAAGTAAGATAGACTGATGGATAGGTAGATAAATAGATAGTAGGTACATAGAGAGACATATAATTAATAGATGACAGATACATGATATATGGATAATATTGAGAAAGTTGATAGATTGATAGATGAGAGATCATGATAATGATTGATAGATACTGGAGGATTAGATAGGCAGATAGATGATAGATAAATAGATGTCATCTACGATACAAGTGAATAGACAGAAGATGCCATCTACACTACCGTGCACCCTGACACACGTGGACTTGGTTTCATGGGTCTGTTGCAAAGTTAAAGGGTTTTCTCCCAGATTCCAATTCAGCAAGGCACGGTTTTCAAAAAATTTTTTCTCCAGCCATTCTGTTTTACTGTTTTAATTTTTTAAAATACAAATAAAACCCTCCAGTCACGATAAAATGACAGAGTTCTGTTCTGTTTCCATGTCTTTGCAATTTCTGTGTCACCGAAATGGGAGGCATAGGTTACACGCTAGCTAGCTCGAGTGATTCTAACCTGTATGAACTCACTGGAATTTCTTCAGAGTAATGTCTATAAAAATGATTATTAAAGTATAGATAATAAAAATGTGTTAACTTGAAGCTTATTGCTGGAAAAAATGTCTCTTACAGAGGAGTGGTATATTTGCTCCAAAAGTCAAGTATACTAGATATGCTACTGAGGCTGGTTTTCCCAAGCTCCTGTGTTCAGCTGCCACCAGCTAGGTGAGAGATTGGAGGACAGATGCAGAGGGGACTATAACCTTTCCCTCACTCCACCCTCCAGCTCTATCAGAAGGGCCCAGCTGAAGCCCAGGTTCTGCCTTTTGCCAAGTGAACCCGATCTCCTGGGTCTGCAATACTGCCTTTTCCTT